GGGATGGGGTAGGGTTGGGAACGGGGATGGGGATGGGGATGGGGATGGGGATGAGGATGAGGATGGAGAAAGGACAGGAATGGAGACAGGGACGGGGACGGGGGACGGGGACGGGGACGGAAATGGGGATGGGACAAGGACAAGGATGGAAACGGGAGCGGGAACAGGGACAGAGGATGGGGACGGGGACAGGGACAAGGATGGGGACGGGGACATGGCTGGGGATGAGGATGGGGATGGGATGGGATTGGATGGGGCTTGGGAGGGCGCCCAAGTCGCAGGACTTGGGCAAGATCATGGCGGAGATCCGGGCGCAGTACGACACCCTGGCCCCGACGAACCTGGAGGACCTGGAGAAGCAATGGGGGCAGCAGGTGGGTCCACACACCCCCCCACACAGCCAAACCTGCACCCCGGGGGACCCCGGTGGTCCCCAGGCAACTGGGGTGATCCTCCATGGGGGTGACTTCCCTGGGGGACGTCAAGCCAAGGGGGGGGAGCAGCCCCCAGCTCAATGGGGTGGTCATCTGGGGGTCCTGACACAAGGGGGAACCCTGATCTGGGGGGGGGCGTTCCCCTGGGGCCCCCCAGTCTGACATAGGGGTGTTCCCCAAAGGCACCCCACAAGAGGGACTTGACCCGATGGGGTCCTGGCCCAACATCGGGGACGCTCTTGGGGTGACCTCTGTCCCGTAGGGGACCCCGAGCCCCAGTGGGCACCTTCTCCAAGGGGGTCCTGCTCCAACATCAGGGACATTCCTGGGGTGACCCCTGTCCCATGTGGGACCCCGGTCCTTGGGGTGGCTCTTCCTGGGGTGGTTTCACCCCCCCGCACCCCCTCCGTGGGTTGGGGTGGCCGTGGTGGGCCGGGCCAAGGCGCTGACCCCCAAACCACACGTGCGTGTCCCCCAGATCACCGAGAGCACCATCGAGATCACGCAGAGCAGCAAGGACGTCGACGCAGCCCGCAGCACCGTGGTGGACCTCCGTCGCTCCGTCCAGACCCTGGAGATCGACCTGGAGTCCCTCCGCAACCAGGTGCCCCCCCCCAAGATCCACCCCCCCACCC